TGAACTCCCTGGATTTCACTTGCACCTCAAACCTACAGCAAATATTTTCAGAACTTTTTATTATTCCTGATGTTTCTTTCAATAAAGATAATAAGGTGCAGAATTAATTAGCATCATTGGAGACGGATGTTCTTTGCCTCTTCCTTCTACAAAACAGAACAGAGGTAATGTGTGTTAGTGTTTGCTTTGCTGTCTGCTCCTTTTGCTGCAAAACAATCTTCTCTAGATGTGGAGACTGAACCGAGCTCTGAGGCTGCCTGCTGAGATCTCTAGCTTGGCAGGCACCCCAGTGCCAAACAAGGCTTCTGTTTTCACTATGTGGACATTTATCTACCTGGAAATGGGCAGGCACCCCAGACAAAAATCATTAGGCATAGGCTTCAAAGAGGTGTAAAATTATCAGGATTAAGGCTTTCTGCTGAGTCAATCACAGAGATGGTTTCTGGGCACCAGAGCTCTGCTGTTACACAGGGATCTGCATCCCAAGACCAGGGCTGAGCTCTCACCGGCAGCACCCCTTGCTTGGAAAAATCTGCTTAACTCTTGTAGCTGGTTTTATCTGGATACCTGTAGGAATGGCTGTGCCAGCTCTCCTGGGCATCTTTCATGAGCCAGAGTGTGTCTGGGAGCCTCTGGGACTGTGGAGAAAAGCACATATGTCTGAGCATTTAGCAGAATCTACATGGATTTTTATGTTTTGCCCATGACAATAAACAGCCCCTGCTTAAAGTATCGCCTGTGAGGTTTCACCACAGAAATATGAATGACTTAGCAGTTCTCCTCCTCACTCATCAGAAGGATAGTTAGGATCCATGCCAGCTTCACTGGGGACAAGCTAATACAACAAACTAATTTTTCATTAAGAAGGGTCTGAAATTTTTAATGAATCTGCTTCATTCATGCTCACTCCAGTTTTGCCCTCTACATGCAGGACAAGCAGGGTGAGCTGGCATGTCTACGCAGGAAAGCAGAACAACTATTGCAGGAGAATGAGGAGATGTTAAATTTAGATTCATAGCAAAAAGTACTTGAGGAGATGGTCTGAGCTGAGAAACCCACAGGGAGATGGCCTCCCATTCCAAAACTGTTTCTGTTTTATGCAGTGACACCTTGCAAGAAACTGGGCACTCAAGGCGAACCACGAACCAGATTTATTCCAGTAACTTCAAACTATAAGTGCATTTGCAAAAAGAACAATCTGCCCATTAATGGCCTGAAAGAAAGAAGAAATTAATCAAATGAATGATGGAATATGAATTATTCTCCCAGTCCTTCAAATTTTTAAATGCAGTGCAAGTCCTTTCTAACCCGATCTCCTCATCAAATCTTCTCCCCTTTTAAAAGCTGTTGTATTATTTGCCTAAATTATTCATGTACTGATATAAACGTGTTGGTTATGGAGTGGTCTCATCTCCTTTTCTTTCTGCTGAAAATATTATTTAACTTAAATCTGGCAGTTATGTAATTTAATCCTTGTCTTCCATTATTAATGAATTTTAACATGAAATATGTAGGTATTTTTCCCTATTATGCCTTATGCAGCACTGGCCGTAATTATGTCAGAAGAATTTTTTTCTCCTTTTTTGAAGAAGTATTTATTAGAAACTGTCCTCCATGGTGCTGACAGAAGAAGTTTAAAGGGAGGAGTAATTTCTGCCTCCTTATTTCTAGCCTTCTTGTAGGCCATTTTCAAAAACAGACCTTTCAGTGCCTTACAGCTTATTGACTTTAGTCCTATGTTGGTTTCTGGGGTGATGGATCTCTGCCCCTGCAAGCAATTCTGATAAAATCAAGAGTTATGATAGTGAAGGTGAGTTTGGCTAGACCCTTTCCTGAGTTTTCTCATGAATATTCTTGCCTGGGAGATGGCTATAATTCCTGTTTGGTTTATCCAGAAATGAAGTGCTGGGAAATGATATGCCCATTTACAACGTGATTGCTGGCAATAGCACCTAGAGTTTCTCATTGCCAGCCCTGCCTCTTCTCATGAGACCATCCTTCTTTCCACAGCTGCCAGCTCCCAAAAGACGTGGAGCTGCCCTCACTGGTTGTCCCTTCCACCCCTGCATGCCTGGAGCCCCAGGGCTGTCACTGTCTTTTCTCATGCTTTCTGGTGTGATTATTCTCACTCCTGTTTGCACACACAGATGGAGCTCAATGGATCCCTAATAGCATCATTTACTTAATTAACATGCAATTAGCTTAATGAATATTTTACCCTCATTATGTAGTTACTCATCTTTATCTGTTGTGGGTAAGTCTAGTGCCCAGCTCTGACCTGTTATAAAGACAAGCCAAATTAGTCTGGTTCTTCAATTACGTTCAAGGGGCCTGTTTACACAGTTCTTTATCCCTCCTTTTATTTGTCACATCCATGATGGAAGGGTTGGGGTTTATGGAGGCAGAACATATCTTTTTCTTCTTCTTCCCCTGAAGAATTAGAAATTTCCTTAGGGTTGAGACAGAGGCAGGGGTTGGCAATATTACATTCTTGTAGGTGGGTGGTATATTCTGCTGACATGGTCAGGATGAACCCTATTGCTCTACCCGTGGGACAGTTTCTTGGCAGTGAAATCTTCCAGTTATGGGCCCTTCCCATTTTCAGCCTGCTATATGGTGTGGTGATTACATTACAGTGTGTCAAATGTCTTTCTCCATCACCTTCTTCACACTCAGGATTTGTGCCGCAGCAGAAGCAATATCTGTGCCTTGAAGGTATGGGATGACTGTTCAATTAGTTTGAAAATGCAGATAGGGGCAGAGGAAAGCAAGTGTGCATAGGAGAAGAGAGTTTCCTTGAGTCAAGAGTGACCTCTTGAGCTGACTGCAAAGCAATTTGAAAGAGACTTGTTCAGTCTTACTAGACGGGCAGAGTGGTGACCTAATAGATCACGTCTTGGCTCTAAGTGGGACACCTGTGAGGGAACATTTCGCTCTCACCTTCCTCTGGGAAGAAAATGGAAAACATCCCTGTGTTGACTTGCTTACTGCTGGCATCTCAGTGGCACCCTTACCGACTGTCTTCTTGTTATGACCTGGGGAAGGCAGTCATGCCTCCTACCCTGCGCCTGGGGAAGCAGGCTGATAAGAGCCATTTGGTCTCAATGAGAATCCACACAGAAATGGAGAAATGGACTTCAAAGATTTTAACAAAAAGAAAATATCTCTGGTAAAATACCATTAGAAAGTAAGAAAGCAGTGAGCATCATTTCCTTCAGGCTACGCTTTTTGTTGTTTTGAGCCAGCAAGGTTAACCAGAGAAATAGAGCAGAAAGTTGAGATTATCAGGAACGGCTACAGTTGGGCTTTCAAAGCCTTCCCACATACTTCAAAGGAAAACAACAAACTTCATTTACACAATGCATACTCCTGCTTTCTTAACCTGGAACTGGCTGTGCAGAGGAGAGGGAAGTGAAATACTAAGGGGGGTGTTAGCAAAGGGTAAGTGCAGAAATAATGAGAGAAGTCTTCCTTAATGACAGGAAAACTATGCCCCCTCCTCTGCAAAGCCAAGGGTCCTATCCGGCAGGCAGGGCTGCCACATGTCTTGCTTGATCCTGCATTTTTCTGACAGGGTCTACCTCCCTGCCAGGCCAGGCCCAGAGCTCTCCTAGTCAGGCTATTTCCAGTTCTAATTTAGCATGCAGTGCTCAAATTCTGTTGAGGTATCACCCGGCTCCTGTCCTTATGGAGGAGCAGCCACGTTCGATGAGGTAACGAGCTGAGAAGATTTGTGGGTGTGCATATTGCAGCAAAGTCAGCCCATGCAGTCCATGTAAAGAGCACCAAGTCTCCATTATTTGTCTTAATCTGGCACTTACAGAAACAGCTGTTATGGGGCCTGAATACTTTATTGATAGGACAAACACAGCTAAAACAGCCATCCATCCCAAAGTCAAGTGGACAAGCTCATAGTGCTCAGTGCTGTGACTGCTGAAGCCTAAGGATCAGGATTAACGTCCATTTGTCCTCATCCTTTGGCTTGACTGAAGTAGGCTTGTGGTGCAGGGTAGGTTGGTAGATCAGTTGCCATTTCATCCTGTAGCTACTGTGAATAGCTCCCTGTGCTCATCCAGCACTAGGGAGGGCCCTGTGCCCCCACTCAATATGAAGTAATAGAATCTTTCCAGAGGTAGGAAAGGTAACTGCTAAGATCCATGTGTAGCAGAACTTGAAGGCCATAATCTCTGGTTATCATTGATTTCTACACAGGGCTTCCCAAAAAGTTTATGCTAATGTGGTGTAACTGAGCCAAAATGCCAGCCAGAGTAAACAGTCAAGCCATTGACTCCAGCAGACTTGAGCCACTTTAGCCCCAGACAAATCATTTTGCCTTGTGACACAAGGCAAGACACGCTACTACAGTCAGGAAAAGGACTCACATGTTACTGCTGCTGGACACACAGGGCTAGCTATATCCAGCTGGCAATATCTGTGCGTGTGACAGAGGAAGCAAAAGCCTACTCTCCTCTGGATCAAGAGGGTGAAGGCTTTCATTTTGGGTGTGAACATACCACTGCGTAAACTTCTTCATTGTCTCTGTCTGTGTTGTCAGAGCCAGCTAGGTACTGGACCCCTTTGTAGATGTAGCACAAATGTGAATCTGACCCAACATACTAGCTGTTACTTTTTAAAGCATTTTGGGTTGTCTTCATAGAAAGTTCAGAGGGAATCCACATTCGTAGCCTCACTTTGCATCAGCTGGCAGGCTCAGAGAGGCCAAGGCCACACTGTTGACCCTGGCTGGGGAATAATCATAGAATCCGCTAAGCTGGAAAAGACCTTTAAGATCACCAAGTAATGGCAGAGCACGGTGTGGGTAGCTGTTCTTCTCCTATCACCTTGTTAGAGAGATCACTTTATTCACCAGGGCTGTCAACTGAACACCTTTCATCATCAAGAACTCTGTTTAGAATAAAACAACAGACCCAAAGTTGATAATCAGATGCAAATTATGTACCAGTATGCAGAAGACAAAGATAAGATTTGCATAAAATGTGTGCATGACAGTGGCTAAGTTTCCCTTATTTTTTCCCATAAATATCAAAGCACAGAAAGCAATAATTCTGCACCAGCTCACCTCTTCGACCACAGCCCTCAGCCTCCAGTCCTGTACTTGAGGGCAGAGCAGCTCACCCGAGGTGCCCCTTCCCCTCCCACATGCCGGGGGAGCAGCACGCTGTGTTCAGGCTCAGGTCAGGCATTTTGGCACAGACAGCAGTGTTTGTTTCTTTTCTCAGGAATCTCTTTTCCAGGAGGGGAAGCCATTAGCTAAGAAGGTGAAATGGATTTGCTGCTGCTCTGCTGTATTAACAGAGCTTGTTCAACAACCGCTCTCTGTAGAGCTTAAAATAGTCTTTTGAGGGTAGGAAACCACGCACCAGCTTCAAACCAACAGATAAGTCTTGTGAAAAAAGAGCAACCCAGGGTGCTGCTGCTGACACAGTTTCTCTTTTCCAAACAGCCAGGAGTTTCTTGTGTGGTGGGGTACACTGGATATGTGCTTTGGCCAGTCTCGAGCTCAAAACTGTCCTTCTGCTTCCACTGTCTGTTGGGGTTGGGCCAGTGTTGGTCAGGGGCAGTGGTGTCTCTCAGAGCAAATGGGGGCTATTCAGCAGTGCCAATGGGTAACCTATAGGTTCAAGTGGGTTTGCCAAAACCAGCAGGTCTTCCTAAGGAATGCAAATGAGGTGGCTCCAATGTGTGTCCCCAATAGCTGCTGCTCCTCAGCCTCCGTGGTGCAACACTCAAGAGACTGCTAATGACATTCTTGTTTGGAGACTGTAGGGATCCCTCCTGTATGATGCCACCCAGCCACGCTGGGCTCATTGGGGCTGGCCGCAGCTCAGGCACTGGGAAAGATGCAGTGAGAGGCAAAAGGCTGCTCATAGGATGTAGGGGCTGCATGACTCATTTCAAACCCTGAAGTATTGTGACACAAATGAAAGGGAAGAACTGGGGTTCTCCAGAGATGCTGGTACAACATGCATGAGTCTGACTCATCTGTGGCTGCCCAGAGGCCCTTCTGTCAGACAGAAAAAGCTGAGCTGTGGCAGTTGCAGCAGCAGCTACAACAGCAGTGCCCTGTTCTCCTCACTGCCATCTGCTTCCCCCAGCCAACCCCCCCCCCCCAACAGTTAAAAACATGCCCTGATTTTTGTCTTCCATGCAGCATCTTATTTCTGATAGTTCTGAACCAATCTCAGCCACAGTTTACCAAGAAAATTGCAGAGCAGTCCACCTTTCTCCAACTCCAGCTCCATGTATTAGCTATTTTCTTCCAAGAGTCATTGGTATGTGTGGATGTGGCCTCTCTTTCTATGCCCCCCTGCCTTGTGCCTCCCCCTTCTTTATCTCTCTCTCTCCTTCTCCCAATGGATGTTGTATATATGTGAACCAGGGCAAGAAACAAGAAAGCTGATGCTCAGAACAGATTAGTTTGCATTACACAGCCGACAGGCTTTCTTAGAGAAGGCTAGGTACTGGGAATTCAGCATTTCCCTTTCATCGGTGATTGATTGTCTCTGTGTCTTGGGGGATTGGAATTCTGTATTTTGAGTAACTCTTGGTAAGTCCAAAAGTAACAAAAATGTACCTGTGACATGAACTCAGGCCTAAGAAAACTTATCCTTTCCTCCCTTGGCTTCATAAATGTGATGTTTTCATCTGCATTGCTGGCTGCTTTAAGACATACAGGGATTGTGGCCTTTGTCATCCCAAAACACTTGATAAAGTACTTTAAGAGAGGTAAATACAGTGCTTAACCAGGCTGGACAGGTGAACACAGAGTAACTTCTGGACTCATGTGCCCAGCACTACAACCCCCTCTTCCAACAACTCTGCTGATAATGTTTTTCTGTTCTTTGTGCCATACAAAATATTTTTAGATTGGTATTAACCTCACTGTGCTTATGGGGGTGGATGTGTGTGTGTGTGTATTATTACCCTTAGAATTAACAATTGCGGAATGTACCTGCTTGATTCACTTTATAAACGGCAGAAATTACTGAGTATCAACGAGCTCCATGCCAAACACAGGATAGGCTGTGTACCTATGAGGAATGAAGAATCACAACTAGGATGAATATGTAATCTTGCATTCATACCATTGCTTTTAAAACATAATAATAAGGTTACAATCTATTTCTGTTTTAAAGGCCCATTTTGGTCCCTCTACAAATTTGTCTTGTGAAGTGTGTTTGCCTTGAAAAAGACCAGACTGACTCTGAAAGCAAGGAAAAGTATTTGTGAAACAGCTGAAGAAGAGCTCATCAAATTATGTTGACGCAGTAGTTTATTAAAGGTTTAACCCCTTTGACATTTTTCTGTTTGTTTACTGTTTGTTCACATCCCTGTAGCTCACAAATATACTGTTTATTGTCCTTCAGATTTTCCATTTCATTAATTTTGGCTGAAGGCTCCAGCAACAGCTGTATTTGAAGAAACTAGATTATAATTGAGAGGAATTATTAATGATTTCACTGATGCCCTCTACCTTTCTGATTGATTTCAGTGGAAAACATCAGCTTGACGGTATTCCCATGGAGCTGAAATGGGAAGGGGCATATATGTGAATGTCACCACCCTCTGAAATTTAGCTGTGTGTGCTAACGGCACATGAGAAGTCTGCTCCTGCTTGGGGTGAGTAAGCCACCTCCATTCCCAACACCCCCCTCTCCAGCCTGGTACAGTGAAATTGCATCGTATGTACTGGGTACAGTTTATAGGGCAGAAGAATTTGTTTTATACAAGGTAACTCAATTATCTGCATCCTTTCATTTAAGTGGGAGGCTGTGTTTGCAGCTGTAAGATAATGATTCCAGGCTCGGCTTTGCACATACAAGTTTTTCTACCTTATTACAGACAGGGCTGTTTTCACCCACAGGCAAAGGTGGGAGCCTGTGGGGCTGGGAAGAGATGGGGATGGTGTAGCTGCAGTAGGCACCAGCTGACTGTCCAACCTTTCCCCCTACAGGCTGTGAGGTATCAATGGGGTAGAAAAGGAGAAACACATCCAAGGAGGGGCTCACTCTGCTGCAACCACACAGTTGAATTTTACCTGCCCAAGGGTGAAGAGAAAATCCTTGGGCTGCAAAATTAAATTTTACCTACCCTGCTGATAAGCCTTGAGCCAACTCTTATTATAGAGGTATCTTCACCTCCTTCTATTTTACCTACAAAAAGAGGCTTATTGAAAGGTTGATTTTGATCCCTGTTAAGAGAAAAATAAAGAAGGAGAAAGACAATAAAATTCCTCTTGCTTCAAGGTTTTAGATGTAAGTCTTACTGACAATACAATATTGTCTGAAAGTGTTAAGTTACTAGAGGAAGAATATTTTGAATGTAAAATCATTTGCATTACCTCCATTTCAATACATTTGTTGCATCTGCCACTTTTTTTGTGAGCCTCTCTGAGTCCAACAGACACATTATCCTGCAAAGTCTTAAATAAAGGTAGGTTAGACACTGCTTCTCCAAGAGGCAATTTACTAAATCAGGGATGATAAATGTAGAGCTGCGGTTTGAAAATGAAATGTGATTCCACCAAGACAAGCAAGGAAAAAAAAAAAGTGGGAATATGAGAAATCTCTATTGGTAATGTTTTGATTGGCCGATGCTCATTTGGCAGAGACAGCACACCTCTTGGTTCCTGCAAAATATTCTTTTTTATCCATCTTCCACCAAAATGTCTGCTGTTTTCAGGGGCTCAGAGGTACTTTTTCCAGACATGGTGAAGGAAGAAGAGTACTTAACACAACACACCTCACACAGGTGATGCATCTCCTGCACCCAAACAAGATGTTTGGAGCAGGGATGAGCTCACCCCCTGCCAGCTGAGGTGGTTAAACTCCATGTTATGCCCAAGACCAGGTATGCCCAGGGCAGCTCCTTAGGCAGAGGGAGGCATATTTCGCCCTCTTCTTTACCTTTTGATCAGCTCCTCCAACCCCTCCAGCTCCCTTAAGGGAATTCTAGCGGGGTGCAAAGCATGTGAGGGGTTGCCAAAAGCTGGGATGGAGAAAAGTAAGAGATGAATGGGCAGAAAGAAGGGGCAGAGCTGCCAGATACTGGGGACCCTGCCCAGGCTCCCCTCCCAAACCTGCCCCCACCTTGCCCATGGCCCAGAACCACATTCCAGCACAGCCTGGGACTATTAGCCCCTGCCCCAGTGATGCTGCAGCAGTGCTACCTTACATGCTGACTTTCTCCAAGTTTTGGTTGTTCACTTGCCCCCACACCATCGTTCCAGCATTCCTGGCTTCTCTTTCCATGCTTCAAGACGACCCAGAGTCTCTCTTTCACACCCTCTACTGGCCATTTCCCACCCGATCCTTTCTCTGCCCACCCGCAGTAATTCCTGAGTCAGCCCTGCCCTGGCTTCCCACCGGCTTCTCCCTGTCTCTTGGATGTTGCTGGTTGCCCCAGTCCCTCCTGAAGCTGGGTGGAGACATGGCTCCCGTCTTCCTCAGTCCTGATGCCAGAGACCAGGAAAAATCAGAGGGGGGAAAACAGACGCATTTATTCTTCAGTGCCAGTGTCACATGCCATGAAACCTTCCAGCAAGTCAGATATTATAGTTTACCTGCAAATCTGAAGGCTACTGAACAGCTATAAATCCAATCCCAAATGCGTATTGTTCCTTCAGAATACTGGTTTGTGCATCCTGATGGAATATGGCGCTGCTCTGCGTGAAATACAAATGAATGGTTTATTATTGGCTTCTCAGAAATCAAGGTTGAAGGTTGTTCCTTACAATGTGCTCTGATTAGAACAGGGGGTCGGACCAGCAGTATTTCTTTCTGTCTCTGTTATCTAGGAATGATTTGGTCTGTATAAAAATTATACTATTTTCACTAATTTTCCTGCTTGACTTTGCTAATAAGGAAGTCTGCTCTGCTGTTATTCAAAAAACTCATCTGGTTTTCCTGGGGAAGTTTGAATGCAGGGGCTGATTTGGCAAGAAGAATCACTTCAGCCTTCATGGAAACGTGGCCACCTGGGAAGCTGCATGGAGAAACTTCTCCGGAAACCCATTACGTTTTCAAGCTTTAAAAAGTGCCACCTCTACAGCAAGTAAGCCAAGACTTACCTTGACTACAGTGGCGCTGTAATTTGCTTTATGTCAGGTTGACACCCTGTGTTATATTCCTTCGCCTCTATGAGGTACTGAGCAGTGGTGTGTGGTAGAGCTGGTTGCTCCCGATATCTTCATGGCTCAGTGTGAGGTCACCCACCAGGCACATGTGCCCAGCCCGTCACTCTGGAAGCAGTAATAGCCATGGCCATCAGAGTCCCTGTCTCTAGTATCAGGCTAGCATGATCAGCTCTTTTTCTTCTGCATACTAGATGTAACTGAGAAATCAATCAAACCTCTGCCAGGCTAAAAAGGGTGGAGGAGGTGGAGATTCCCAGCAGGTTGCATGATCTGTTGTTTTTCCTCTGGTCTGAAAGACAGGGAGAGGAGAAATGCCTTTGCTCTACATTCCCACTAACTTTCTTGGCATGATGAGGTAGCCAGCTAATAAGCGAGTAATTATACATTGAAATATACAGTTCAGTGACAGTGCTGTCTGTCTGCAGCAGCTCTGGGAAATGAGGGAAGAAAGTACTGTTCCAGCTCTGCTCATGTCCCTGCCTCGCTGTCTGACTTTGTGTGAGTCACACCTTGACTTTGTGTTTCAGCCCCATCTCATCACCCAAGGATTCTCAATTTTGATCAGAGGTGCAATTCACGACTGAGACAGCTGTGCCAGCAAACCCCATCTGTGAGTGCACATTTGTTTGTTGCTTTGCTTGGGAGCAGTGGTAACCCTGGCAAGAGCAGCTCTGATGGTGAACTGTGCCTCTCCGCCAGCAGTACTTCAGTGCTGCACAGCACCTGCACACCTCGATCGTGTCCCTAGGCAGCCCCATCCCCAGCTTTTGTAAAATGATTAGAGCAGCTCAACCAAAAAACACGCTTGTAAATGCGGTTTGTGTTTCTATAATTTCCTCCCAGTAGGGCTTTTCTGTTAATTCCTTGTATGTGCCATCTCATACTACTTAGTTTTACAATAATGGCCCTTCTAACACTGGTCTGCTAGAGAATTGTGTTATAAATAGTCACGGTAAGTTTGAACAGAGTATTTCACCATGGGTTTTCTAAAATAGATCAAGGGAAAGACAAGGATGCCACTGTGTCTTGAGGATGTGAGTATATTTAAGCACAGAGGAAACAAGGAAATTTGTTTTGGACCCATCCCAAAGTTAAGGAGGGAGCAGTAACCCTTGTGGGCAGCAGTGTTTTAGAGCATCCATTCAGCAGGCACAATTCCAGATGTTTTCTCTTCTTTACACATCTAGATTTGTGTGAAGAACTGCTCAGATGCTTTCACTTGAACAGATGGTTTGTTAAAAACGTAGCTGTAGTGTCACTGGACAGGAGGGGAGAGGATCTGTGTGTGTGTGTGTTTACACAGAGGTTCACACAAAGACAAAAATCACTGGATTCTTGAGTCGAGTGTTCCAGCAGTGGCCAAAAACACCTGCAAATGAAGAGGCAAAAGTAACTTGTAGGGGTAGCTCATAGACTATATGTAACATCCAACAAGGAAACTACTTTTGCACAAGTTAATTGTACAGGCTTCATTCTCAAACTCACTTGAGGAGCCAAGCCTTGTGGGCTAGTTTTGCTAGCTATACTTGGGTCATGAGAAGACAGTGGCTTTTGGATTAAGCTAGGGAGGCCAACTGTCCTTGGTTTTTTTACATTCCACATTTCTCTTCACACTTGGAATTCGAACATCTAAGTTTCCTCACAGTCATGCAAGGTCAAAACACTGAGATGAAATAGTGTATATGCAAGTAGTGCCAGGGAACATAAATGAGGGCTGAGAGACCCAGGCTCCTAGCAGATGAACTGAGAGAGTTCTTCCTTGTGGAGGTAAGACCTGCAGCACTCTATCCCTTCAGACCTGACCAGCTTACAGGCTCAAAGCAGGGAAGTTCAGGGGCACTAGAGCATCCATTTCCCAGTGAGCAGCAGCTCCTTGTCTTCTCTCCTTAAGCCTGGAAACCCTCTGAATGCCCAAGCTGTTTGGACAGTGGCAGTGCACATAGGCCCCTGATAGCTTTGGATTTCTAAGTTTTTCATTGTCATGTTACAGCAAGAGGCTGGTGGAGAGCTGCATGACTGATGTACAGTGTTGTATGGTTCCCTAGAGAGTGGTGGGGCTGCTTCAGGCATTGAATTGCGTGCTCTTCTGCAGCCTGCCTAGCACACTGACGAATCTTTCTGTAAACATCTCTTCCAGCTCTTGTGGTCAGGATCAGTAGCAAGGGGAGAGTATGGCAAAAAAAAAAAACAGTTTTCTCTGCAGCCTCCTTTTTAAATCCAAACCACAGATGTTCACCTTTCTGAAGTGAGGGTGGCTCCATCTGGAGACAACAGGGACTGAGGAATTTCTTGTGTGTAATTTTAAGTCAATGTGTTGGTAATAAGTCATCTTCCCAAAACCAGGTGTGGGCACTGGGCAACTGAAATGAGGAGGTACCAGCTGGAGGTTTTCTCACCAACAAGAGGTCTTGAGGCACACGAGCCCACAGCCTTACCTGAGCGCTCCCACAAAAGTGGCTCTGCAGGGCTGCTTCCTCCTCATGTCAGGCCAGGTGAGATGTGCTTTGTGTGGATAACTCCACCAAGGTCTAAACAGCAAGGCCCCATCTGAGAGTTGTCCTATGTAGGTTTTGCTTTCGACTCATGTCAGTCAATCATTCCCATGCTGTGAGCTGTGTTTAAAACCTCTCAAGGGAAATACAAGTAGCACAGCCTCCTGGGAGTACTGGCAACTGCTTCAAACACAGCCCTCTGGCTGAAGGTATCTGCTTCAAGAGTAGCACCTTTACCCTCCCCAGCACCACCTCCACCACAGGGCAGAGATCACACATTTCAGATCATCTGCCTGGCACTGACAAAACTGCAGTCGATGCACCCTTTCTGGCAGTGGCAAAGAGCAAGAACAGGGAAGGATTGTGCCCAAACCCTTTGTACCTGATCTCTGTGAAAAATCATCCCTCTTCAGTGCACTCTGGGAGACGTGCTCAGAGAGGGGGACTACAGCAATGAAAGGAAGTGGAAGAAAGGGAGAACAAGTTCCTTTGACCAGCACCAGCTTGTCATTTTTTTAAACTCACTTTTTACACATGAAAGGGAGGGTAGGAAAGCAGAAGAAAGCATGAATGCAGGAGGAGAAGGAGGTAGAGAGGAAAAAAAGATCAAAGAAAGGGTGAAACAGGAAAAAGATGCTCCCAGTGATGCTGAGACATTTGTCTGTGCCCCTATACCAGCCCCAATCTGTCCTGAAGCAAAATAACAGCAAGATCTCTGGCAAACTAGATATATAAGCTAAAAAGCATAGGGATTAGTAGAAAATGTTGAGTTAGAAGCCTGTAGACTTAGTGCACAAGAGGTGGGATGTTGTGTGTGTATGTATGAACACTCGAGCTGAGGAAAGACGAGTGGCCACATGTTGAGATCACAGGGGTGAGGGATTGCAATGGTTTTCCCATAAGCCTTAACCAGTAAACAGATGTTTTTCAAAGTATAATTGGGTAAAGGCAGGAATAGCAAAACCCCATACCATAGCAACCATCTGCCAGAAACCCCAGCATGGCACTGAAACTGGCTGGGAAGTGCAGGGAGGAAGGATGGTAAAGCTGAGACAGGATGAGTACCTTGGGTGAAAAACAGAGATGGACTCCTTCATCATTCCCTTCAGTATCAAACACTCTCTGTGATGAGGAGAGTTAATCAAAAAAAGCAGAGAATACACAAGAGGCTCACAGGTACTACTAGTGTTGTAAAATGCATCTGGGAAGAAATCAAGCACAGCATAGGTGTATTCCCTAGAGTGGAGATGAGGAGAACTGAGGACAGCAAAGCAGAGCCTTTGGGATTTATAGCCCTATCTTGGCATGCTTCATACTGCAAGCAGGAGATACCCAGGAGGATTTGGGGCAGTAGTAGCACTGGTCTAGTATTAGGGATGGTGGGAAGCACTACTCTAGGCTAGAAGGACTTTTTTCCCCGAAGAGATACTGATTCCAGCACTTTATAATGACAGTTTAACTGCATCCTGTCACTGTAGCTTCACCCATTCTTTCCTATCTCGTTTATAGTAGTGAGACAGGGCTCCCCCTCCCCACACTCCCTGCTCTCCCTTGCCTTTCCCAGTTCCCTCTCTGGCTCTCTTGCTGCCCTACCTCACTGCCTCAGGCCGGACACATGCCCCTATGCTGTGCTGTTGCAGAACCTGTCCCAGCTCAGCCCTGTCTCAACAGCATCGCAGGAGGCACCCTGCGTGCTCAGCTCCTCAATACAGACCTGCAGCTAGAGTTTCCTTGTTTTCCTATCTCCCTGCTAACGTCCCTGCTGCAGCGCTAGAGAGTCCTCTGGCTTTCCCCTTCTGAACTCTTACCTCTCTTGCAGCATTTGGAGTCACCCTTGCTTGCCCACTGCTTTTAAGGTTCCCCGTTGTGTTCCTTTTCCCTCCTCACTTTCTATTTCTACTAAGCTATAGGAAGGGAAATGCTGCTGCAAAGCTTGCACTTCCATAAGTCTGTGTAGGCAGGGAAGAGAGGAAGAGATCGAAGTTCAGGGATCCCAGAGACATTCTTGGATGTGGTGCTGAGAAGAAAATGAACAGGAACGAGGTGACAGAAATGTTAGGCCACAAGCTCAAGAGATCACTGGGGCCCAGAGATAGCTGCATCATCCCAGGAAAGAAATAAATGACAGACTACACCAAACTATAGCATGAAAATATCTACACAGAGAGAATTAATGTTCTTGCAACTGGACCTTGGCCTCCCACAGCTCTTCAATCGTCTCTTGCCTGGTGACATTGTGCTATATATGATTTGCTTTCTTTGAACAGCACATCCGTCCCAGCAACTGTCTACCTTTTAACATAGCTGTGAAATATAGGTGATGTAGTATGTATAAATATTTCAAAGAGACAGGACTCATTGGACAAGCGGGGTCTTGAGAAGCAACCAGAGACACTGATTCCCATCCGGAAAGATGGGACAAATATGCTCTGTGGAAACAGACTAGGGGATGAAAAACATGCTTCATCCTTGTTTTTTGACAAGTGGAATCACTGCAGAGTATGGTTTCCTTATGACAAGTATCTACTTGCTTAGCAAGGGTGCATAGAGTGCTGGCTTGCTGTCATCCATTGCAAACACCACAGTTACGAATGTTAGGATTTATTAGGCCTCAACCAATAATTAATTACCTTATTTAGCAAACGCAGTTACGTACTTGTGTTTTGGCAGTATTTTTTTCCACTCAGAGCATACTTTGACAGTTTACTTTGAAATTCATTTTTCATAAGCATTTGTGCCAGTGAAACCTGTGAGCCTGTGCATTGAATGTTAACACAAAAGGGGTGTAAAGGGCATATTTTGGGGATTTTTTTTAGACTCGTTATTCAGCTATGTAACACATAAGCCATTCAAACTTTGAGGCACTATTCAACAATCGAATGAGAATACCTGGGGGAAAAAAAAAAAAAAAAAAGGCAAGGCTACAAAATGCCCCATAAATATCCTTATTTCAAAATTATGAGTAGAAAAGACAGGATTCATATCTCCATGCTTTTTCTTTTTTATCACTGTGAAGTTTCCTGGATCTGCAAACATCTCTTCACCTCATTTCCTTGTGTTGCTCTCAGCTTGCTCCATGCAGATGTGGACAATTATAATTTTTCTCAGCAGCAGCAGCAGCTTCTGCTTCTCCACATGCCCTAGTAATGAGGCTGCCTCCTTGTCCTCCCAGTGCTGGCCACCTCCTTCTACCTCTACACCCTTTATTAATGTTGCCACCACCACTGTAGGAAGGATTAAATCCTTCTCAGGTGAAGATCTGTTGTATTAAAAACAAACTTGCTCACATCAGGTGCTTTCATAAAGTGCCCTGCTACATGCTATCATCTTGGGAAAGGACACCTCAGAGTACCACAGTTTCTTGGCAAATGTTCTTTTAGCTTGGGGGGGGGGAATAAAATATAAATGGAATAAAACCCAAACAATCTAACAAAGCAGTTCTATACTGGCGACATCCTGAGAAGTGAGGGAATAGGGTCCAGTGTGAGACCTGCCTGCCTTGCCTCGCCTCCCACATGAGGGGATGCTGGTCACCGGGGGAAGTTGCTCTGTCCGTAAAGCCGTTCTCCTCCGGGTGCATGCTATTGCTTTCCTCTCCCGCTCAGCACCGCTTACAGTAGGAATAGCAGCTTACTAATTAGCGGCTATATCTATTAATTGTTTGGGTTTTAGAACATGATTCAGCAACCAGCCGCTCCCTGGCTGGTTGCTTCCAATATTATAGATTATTACATCTTTCAATATTTTACATTTTTCAATATTATTATTATTAAGTTTTTAATTACATTTTTATCCAGAGAGTGACTTGTTCACATGGCGACCCAGCGCCTCTTCCCGTCCGCTTTCCCTCCTGGTAGAGCTCCCGCTGGTAGCCCCAGTGGCGAGCGGCCATCCATGCAGAGCCGCGGGGCACCGCGCAACAGAGCAGCACCGTGAGCGGCGTGGGACCGCCGAGCCCACGCGTGGCTGAAGCGGCATTTTACCTGTCCCCCAGCAAAGCAGATGGAGGTAAGGATGTGGCGAAGCAGGGCTCCGCATCGGCGCTCCGGGTGCCGGTGGTGATGACCGGGATAACCGGGGCGGTCGGGCAGCATCTCCTTCCGCAGACCTCCTCCCGGCCGGAGGTCTCCCCCAGGGCCCTGCGCGGCAGGGGGGGGAGCACAGCTCCCCCTCTCCGGGTTTTATGGACGAGCATTAGCACAGCCCCACAGGTACCGCCGATTCCCGCAGCCATGCACCGGGCTGGGGTCCCACATAGCACCCCAGCCGTACTTAGCCCCCCTGTCCGCCGCTCCCGAGCAGCATTCACAAGGCAGCTCCACCAACCTGCAACCTACTGGGGGAGAGGACAAAAAACTTTGCTGGTACCAGCCATCGCCGGCACAGGAAATACCCCCCACTCCCTCCGGCAATCTGCCCTCTTTCCCCCCCTCCCCGACTCGCTGCCGGTAGAAGCGCCAAGAGGTGCCCCAGTCCCCGCCGCCCCTGGGCTTTCCGTATCTTAAGTCCCACCCGGGAGAAGCCGACCTTGCCGCGAGTGTCCTGAGGATGGAGGGACCCCGGGCTGACGGCTGATCTCTCCGCCGGAAGCAAGTTCCTTTTTCTCCCCAGCCCTGCGGTGCCTGTCTCTAACTGGGCCGGGGAGAGGGAAGGCTCGCAGAACTGGGCAGGAGGCAGGGCTTTGCAGAGCACGGCTGCTTTAATTGGCTCCCTTTTATTTTTTTTTTAACCGAAGAGGAATGAAATGGTGAAGAGGGGAGGAGAAAACCTGGAAAACCAAAGGGGAGAAAATCACGGTGCGGCCGGCAGAGCGACAGGCAGGGAGGGTGAGGCTGCCCCGGGCAAGCCTGGCCGGTGGGGCCATGGGGGAGCCGTGCAGTGTCTCCCGGCCCCTCCGTCGGGGACCGGCGGAACAGAGCGCCCTGGGGCTGGTCGGGGAGCGGTGACGCTCCCGGCAACTTTCGCAGGAGATTTTGGCGCTTCGGGAAGAAGCGGCGGGGCAGGGACCTGCCAAGCGGTTTCCAGCCGGCGTCTGGCAGGAGTAACCTAACTTTCTGCAGCTTCTTGGCCCTTCTCGGAGACTCCTCCCAGCTGCAGCCTCTGTCAGTTCCCACCGGGAGCTTCGGCAGCCGCGTCGAGGGAGTGCGACGCGGACCCCTCCAGAGCCGCAAATCATCTGCGAGGCGGGAGAAGCAGGCAAGCAGCGGAGGCAAAGCACCCACCCGAGGCAGGCACGCCGCATAAGAGAAAGTTTTGAAGGGAGAAGGACCTGTCAGGCTGGGGTGGAGGCGAAGAAAGCCTGGCTGAGCAGCAGGCGGGGCGAGGGTGCCTGCTCTGGCTGCTCCCCTCTTGCTTCTCCCTTCAGGCTGGCTAGGGCGATGCAGTGCAGCTGGGGAAGCTCTTGGGAGCCGCTCTAAAAGAAAAAAAAAATCCTTCCTGGATTTGATTAATTACAACAATCCCCTCCCCAGAAGATCAGGAAAATAGGAGAGAGCATCACCTACCTCTCCCTCCGCCTTTCAGCAACTGGCTCCTACCCCCACCCTTCCGTCCCCCCCTTTTTCTCCACCTCCCTCTCCCTGTTTGCTCCTGGGGCTGCGGCCAGAGCCTTGGAGGAGGAGGAAGGGTAAAGACTCTCCCAAGTTGGCCCCAGTTGGCAGCACTTCGGGCAGCGCTCGGCAGATCCCACCGAACAAAGAACCCCCTTTTCCCGCAGGGGCCGGAGGCAGCAGGGCCCCGCTCCTGCCCGGTGCCCTGGGCTGGCTTCTCCGAGCCCCCTGCGGGCGGGCGCGGCTGCCCGTTTTCCTGGAGACCCTCGAGAACCTGGCGAGGGGAAGCGGGAAGCAGCGCCCCGCTTTCTTGCCCTCCTCTCTGCCTCGTTCCCTCCCTCCTTTTTTTTTTTTTTTATTTTCCTTCCTTTTTTCTGTTTTTTTTTTTTTTTTAATTCCATCCTCAGGCGGCCCCGGTGGGGGAGTTCGGGGGTTCCTCCCCGTCCCTCCCTCTGGCCGAGGGGCGCCGCTGCCCGGCGCTAAGCCGGGTGCATGGGGCGGCGTTCCGGGAGGCTTTCGTCTGCTTCTCGCTCCCCCGCCGGATGCTGCCTGGGCTGTTTTGGCTGCTTTTCTTCGCCGGCGATGAAGGCTCTGCCTTGAAGATGGAGATGATCTGGGTTTTATTCCTGTCTCTGGTGCCGGTGTACAGCAGGGGACAAGGGGTTTACGGTAAGAGACGTTGTCGCGGTCGCTGTTTGGGGACGTGAGGGCGCAGACAACGGCGGTGGGATCAAAGTTACAAAGCACCTGCAGGAGAAAGTAAATGATGCCGGCGAAGCTCGTCGCAGCCCGAGCGGAGAGATTTATGCAGCAATAAGGCTTCCAGCGCCTGTAGCCACTTCATAATGTCTCTCTGTAACCCCTGGCACCGCCGGTGTAGGAGCCCGCCGAGGTGTCGCGCCGGGAGCCGGGCATGAGAGAGCTGCCGCGGGCTGGAACGACCCCCGGGCCCGGCTGATGCTCCCTTGGGGACGCCTCGCTGATGCCGTGAGAAACGCGGCGGCGCGGCGCTGGGAGCACTCCGAGTTGCAGTTTCTTTGGGGTAGGGGGAGCCTGAGTATCCCCTCCCAGCGCAGCCCTTGTGGGCTTTCTTCCTTGCCAGAGCACCGCGCGGGGAAGCGCAGCGAAGGGCGGCAGCCGCTGCCTCGCCGGGGCTTGGTGCCTGGGGTTCCCCTAGCTGCCGGGCAGCCCGCTCGCCGAGTTGCCCGGGTCTGCCCGCCTCGGCGGGGCTGGCTGGGCTCCGTCCGCCTCATTGGCGACCTCCGCTGAGCTCCCTTCCCTCCCGGGGTGCGAGGGCTGAGGCTGCTTTTGCACCCTGTTGAACTTTGCTAGCGATTTTCTTCTTCAGATTGTGAGCGTGTGTGGGGGTGCTGGTCTGTGCCAGAGCTGATGTCGAGCTGCTTGGCTTTTTTCTGTTATCACCATTATCACCGTTATTATTACTGCAATGGTGTTTATTTCCTCTCCTTGCTTGCAGGCAGGGTGGCAAATAGCAACCTCGAAGGTCGTCCCCCCTGCCCCCGCCATGAGAGGTTTGCTCCCACAGCCCCTCAGGGGCAGCAGAGGCTGGAGACGGCACCCTGTCCCCCGCTGAGCACAAGCCCTGAGTGGAGAGAACAGCCGGGATTCACTTTAGCCAGCAGCACAGCCCCCCCTTCCCTCTGCCAGCCCTCTCTTGATTCTTGCTTTACAAGATCTGCATTTCCAATATACTGGGAAAAAATAAATAAAAGCAACCCACAAGACTTGCCTCTTATAACAAGCCGGCTTTATCTTGGCTTACAACTCAGTTGTGCGTTGCTGTAAAGTCCTTCTGGAAGGCATGCCTCTGCCTCTAACGAGCCAAGCTCTCTGAGCTCTAAAGAGAGACCCCAGTGAGAGAATCCAGCCCCCCCCCCGCTCCCCCTTTTCTAACAGCACGCAGCCAGTCTCTTGTGTGAGCTCTGGCAGAGATCAGTCCAGTCTCACTGACTCTGGGTAAGTCTTTGTAGGTCACTTTTTAATGATGTATTTCTTTAATGGAAACAATTCCTCCTTTCTCCTTGAGGACTGGGATGTTAGTTTGATTTTGGGTCCGTTTTGTAAAATAACCATTTTAAATAGAGGGTGTTTGGCTTCTTGTTTTATTGTTTCTTCCTCCCACTATATGGATTTTCTCTCAGTCTGCATGTCCAGAGGAAAATTTTAGGACCCTCTGAAGGCTGGAAAGATGAGAAGTAGAATGAGTTTGTGGTAAAGAAGCCTGGTCAGGGCAGGTTATTCAGTCCTTTAAAACAGGTAATCTGCTTCTAGCTGAACTTCTGTTATTGTGTTTTAGTGTACTCGCTGGTGAGTAGCTGTCACTTGCTGTACAATGGTCTCTCCACTCAGCACAGCAGCCAGGGAAACAAAGCTTAAACTTGGTTTTGCTTAAATGTGCTTTAGAAGGTTGCCTGTTGTGTTTTTTCATCCACTTCAGTGAACTTATATTCGATAGAGCTGCTGCTAAATTAGATCTTCAGAATAATTTACTAATGTTTTTGTCTTTTTCTCTCAGAAAGAGATTGGAGAAGCTGTATACAAAAGATACAGACATGCACTAAGGAAAGCATCCTTTTAAGCCAAAATGGTACACTATTTCTATCTATTCTCCTATTTAACTACACAAAGGAGAAACCTAGTCCCTTCTTTCCTCCTCTCTCCCCTCCCTTACCTATTCAAACTATCGAGACCATCAGCAGCCTTAACAAGCAACTGTGGCTGAGTGCAGCCCAGAGCAGTGTCTTGTGGAATCAGCACACTGCAACTTCTATGGTGACTAATAGTTTTCATATTGTCTTCCCCAACCCTGCCTTCAGTCCACTGCTCTGCACTAATTTCATGCCTTGTGCAGCCAGTGCTCTTTGCTTGGATGCAAGATTGCTGTTATTGATGGCTCAAGCAGGGCCAGATTGATACTGTTTTATTTGCAAGGATAAATAAAGCAGGATTAGAACCTTCTACCCCCCTCCACTTTGATTTGTCCTAAATGTTAGTCTCTCACCACAGCTTTAAGCTTTACTGAAGTGTTCCGTGTTGTGAATGCTGGTATCATGTGGCACTTAACGTAGAAATGATGGGAACTTGAGTATCATGTTTCAGATCTGTTCTTCTGCTTTTGAATATTTATTTATGGAGATGGAGAGAGGCATCTATATGGGTCTATAAATATATTTTACTTTAGTAAATCTGATGAGATTAAATCAGATTAAAAAAGATAAACTATCCATTTGATGTACCCTTTAAATAATACACCCACATAGATGCGCACAAAAGACCTCTGTCTAGGACAGTGGAATTGTTGGAGAGGTTTATTGAGATGAATGGTATAAATAAAATGTGTGTAAGGGGGTTTCTGGGAAAGGAGTATTTGCAATGGAGGTGCAATTTAATTAGGAGTCAAGGTGCTTTTTGCCTACTACCTGGAGAGGCTTGTTAGATAAATAGGCATTTGTTGTAATGACTGAAGTGTCATTAAACATTACTCAGTCTCAAACCCTCTTCTCATAGCTGATACCATCCTTTCAGCCTTGTTGGTTGCAGCAAGACAAGGCTGGCCTGATAGGGAAGGCAGTTCAGCAGACTGCCAAGAAGCAGTTTTTATTGGCCTTTTGTGGTACACTATTTTCCAAACTCTGTGCGCCTTCAAGTCCTGGTGTATTAATGCTGCTGGTCAGGATGAGGAGCAAGCTGGAATAGATCTTTAGCAAATGTCAGAATTTGGGGGGAGGGAGGAAGAGGTAAGGAGAAAGGGGACTTGCCCTTTCAGCATTGGAGTTAAAGACTATAAAAACTATAAATTAGACTGAAAGGGGAGGGTGGAAGGGTGGTGTCCAAAGGGAAGAGTATGTCTAGTCGGCCTTGCAGATTTCAGGGTATGCATAGCTCTGTCACAGAGCTGTTGCTTTGCTTACTCCATCTGCAAATTATAATTAACATTTCTGGGTTGTCTTGCAGCTAGCACAGTCCAGCTGCTCAGCAGTGGCCTTTCACGCTAAATAAGCCTGGGATGTTTTGTCCGTGCCTCTCATAATTCACTTGTGGAAAAAGGCATTTTGGGAATGGTCATCACGATGTGTGATGAGGGGCTACAGCAAGGTGATGGAATAAAGGAGGTTTAGGCGGGGCAGCAGGGAAAGCTGCCTGGCACGGTGATCAGAGGGGCTGGATGGGCTGCATTGCTTCAGGCGCTGGGAACTGGTGGGGGGGGAACCTCTCACAATACAGAGTAATCTTGCCCTAGCTTCTGAGGTGGGGAATAAATGACCTAGTAGAGCTCTCTCTTTAAAGAGACACCATCACACTGAATCACCCCTGAAGTGCCATTACAGGCAGCCAAAAGATCTAGTGAAAGAATGTTTTCTTGCCTCTGCGATGGAGGAGTGTCATGGTAAAACATAACCTGGGTTTAGGCCGTAAACATCTGCACTTTCTCACTTCGTGTACGTGTGACACGATTTGTTTCCTGCTCCTTTTACCTGGAAAGTAAACCTCTTTTCCTAGAGTTTTCAATGCAGGATGCCTCGCACCCTCCTCTTGCAACCTATGTGCATGCCTGTCTTGCTGCCCGTTTCTGGGGGCACAGACACACTCATGTTAACCTTGAGCTGGTGACCTGGATCAGTCCCTCCCCCCTGCTGCTGCCTCTAGCTGTTTTGCCAGTTGGAACAGGAGTCCAGACACGGAGCTCTTCAGCTCTCTTGTGTTATCCCAGTGTACCACCTGTGCCTTCAGAAATGGGTGAGCAGATTGCTGGCTAAGCTCGTGGTGGAGCCGGTTCCTGTGAGCCACTTCTTGGCTGATTCCATTTGAAAACTGTGATGCATAAGCACAGTGGTCTTCCTAACTATATATATACACATGCGTGTGTGTGTGTATATATATATGTGCGTGTGTGTGTGTGTGTATCCTTTGTGCGCAGCCATTTTCTCTTGTTGTCCAGCCCTTAAATCTGTGGTAGCTTAGGCTGCAGCCTTTTGGTTACAGGAATGAGTTTTGTAACTGGAGGGCTAGAGAAAGTCTCACCAAAAGGTTGGGTCAGTTCAAGATTTGAATAGCCCTTCAGCAGTTCTTTAAGGTCAAGGCATTAATCTGTGCAGTCCTGTGCTTCAGAATGCTTCGCTGTTCTCCAACTGTAGTGTATCAGATTCACCCTCCCGTGACACTCAAGCCTCTGTTTTTAGGTCAGGTCAGTAGCTTCACACACCAGATAAGCCCTCAGTTGGCTTTAACATGCAGTTCTAGAAAACTGACATTATCCTCTTGACAGGTTGTTTGCAACTTGTTGGTAGAAGTCAAAATATTTCACTATAGGTGTCATCAGAAACCACCATCCTATGCTAATTTTTGTGGGAACATGAAGACAGATGTTGAATAATTTGACATGAGCAGCATAGCTTTTAAAATTATCACTGTGTCAGGCGTGAACTTTTTTTTTTGAAATATATATATGTATTTCAGATGAGTTTGAGAGAAGGAAGGGAGATATAGCAAGTTGCTCCCAATAAGTGGAAGATGCAGCTGAAGATCGCCTTGGAGGTTCAGTAGTCAGACAGCAATTCAGCAGTGGCAGTAAGCGATGCTATGCTGCTGAGGCTGCTGTTCTTATTTTCAAGTAACAAGACAAAGTGACTTCCACGCTGGTAACTTGG